TAGAAGAAACACTTAGCTAATTAGAATAAGCAAAAGAAAGAAAATGAGGAATTGGAACTTTCTGCACAGATAACTTTTCAAAATAGTTTTAGCTGTACCCAGATTTTCAAACCAAAGCAATTTAATTAAGTTAGTCACTTAGTCTGTAACTTCCAAAAGCGTTGGAACAAGCAGATACTCGTCTGTTCCAGGTTCATTTAAAAAGATCTCCTCTTTAAGCCTCTTTGACTTCCTCAAGCAAATTAAGGAACGAGTCCAACTGCGTCGTTACTCATGCCGTGGCGCGCCCGCTGGCTGAACTCGGTTTGGTTCCCGGGTACTCGGCTTCCCGCCTCTTATCTGTGGCTGTGTACTCACGGACGCACTCGGCGGGGGCCCCGCTCCAGCTGCGGTTGAACTGGCACACGCGGCTGGGCGCCCCCCTGCGCTCGTATCCTCCCTCACAGTGCTGCTCGCAGCTGGCGCCGTAGTTGTTCCCGTCGGAGGAGCAGCTGACGTAACCGTGCAGAGGCGGGTGCAGCTCCGGACATCGCCTCACTGGATGGAGAACGCAGCGGGGAAAAAAAACAAACGCTGGCCTCAGCAGTCCATCCATCCATTATCATTACCGCTTATTCCCTAATGGGGTCGCGGAGGGAACTGGAGTCTATCCCAGTGGACAATGGGCGAGAGGTAGGGTACACCCTGGACAGTCCAACAGTCCATCACAGGGTCACACAGAGACACACAAGGACCAACAACCACTCACACTCACTCCTAGGGGCTATTTAGAATGTCCAATCAACGTAACATGCAGGTTTTTGGACGGTGGGAGGAAGCCCGATAGAACCCACAGACACAGGGAGAACATGCAGACTCCACCCAGAAAGGTCCTGGTTCCCCCCGGGACTAGAACCCAGAACCTTCTTGCTGTGAGGCTAACCACCACACCAATGTGAGAGGATTCCACAGGACAAAAAACAGCACACATCTCTGAGTGTCGGGGAATTTTAAAACAGAAAACGTTCTCAGAGTCCTGGTTCCCCCCGGGACTTGAACCCAGCACCTTTTTGCTGTGAGGCGATGGTGCTGACCACCTGACCACCGTGGTGCCTCAGCAGTTTTCAAAGGCTTACCCTCAACACGGACGAGGAACTTGCAGGCAGCCCGGTTCCTGGCCTGATCGTAGGCTTTGTAGCGGATGATGGTCACCCCCTCTTTAAAGTCGGTGCCCGGCTGCTGGCCCTCCAACACCACACTGCAGAGGGATGAGAGCGGTCAGGACGTTTAATCTAAAAACACAAAGAGGAACGGGGAGCTGGGAGAGGGAAAGGAGCAGCTTACTCAAGTGACTTGTCAGCAGTGTCCGTGGCAGCGGGGGGGTCCCAGGTCACGGTGGCGGTGAGCTTCCCGGGCCCTGCAG